TTCTGAAAAATTAGTTCTCAGTGCTAATTTCCATAATACTTTTCAGCATTCTTCTTTAATTCACAGAATAAATCCCAGTATTTGGTTGTTTCATGATGACAAGATGATAACAGATCATGGATAGCTTTTATAATAGACAGTGATGTGTGATAGGCATATAATTTATCCATCGTTACTGAAAAAAAACTGGATACAGAAATCCAGCAGAGAAATGTTAACTCAAAATCTTACACCTAACGGTTAGTATCTGTATTCAAGTTCCCCATGCAAATATACTTACATGCTATACACATTATCCCATAACTTGCCTTTCCTCTTCCCAGGTATCGTAAATCCTTGTCATTAAAAACTTATTTCAGCAGTATATTGGTATTTGTTTGCTATACTTTATTATTGCACTTTTTTTATTTGTTTGTTTTTTGAGACAGGGTCTCACTATGTACTTGAGACTGACCTGGAATTCACTATGTAGTCCAAGCTGGTCTCCAACTCACAGTGATCCTCCTGCCTCAGCCTCCTGAGTGCTGGGATTACAGGCGTGCACCACCAGGCCCGGCCTGCACATTTTTAATAGATAACAAACCACATCAAAGAAACACCATTTGTGCATTTATCAGGGCAACCCCTGAGAAAAACTTTCAAGTACATATAGTATTATTATTGAATTTTTTTTTCTTTGCAGTACCGGGGAATGAATTCGGGACCTTGTGCTTGTGAGGTAGGCACGGTGCCGCTGAGCTAAATCCCCAGCCCTCCACTGTTTTACCAAGGGTAAGGACTTTTTAAAGGCTTTTGACACATATTGCACACCTGTTCTGAACCCTTTTGTTGTGGTTTAAATCTAAAATGTCTCTCCAAAGTGCAAGATGACTGATTCTGGGACACTACCATCAATGGCCTCACTCATGGATGAATTCAGTAGCTAGACACGCTGCTAGGAAGCGGGTCCTGGCTGGAGGTGGGTACCAAGGGCATGACCTGGAAGCACATTCTTTATTTAATGCAAGTGTTTTTGTTGTTGTTGTACTGGATATTGAGCTTGGATCCTTGCACTTGCAAGGCAGGCGGCAGAAGCACTGAGCCAAATCCGCAGCCCGGGAAAGTATTCTTATCCCAGGCTCCTCCTCTCTCTGAGGGCTGCTGAGATGAGCAGCTTTCCTCCACCATGCCCTCCCTCCATGGGCCTCTGTCTTGGAACCAGCCAACTTGGAATGAATCCAGTGGAAAACATAACGCAAATAAACCTTTCCTCCTTTAAGCTGCAGGTGTTAGGTGTTTTGTTCCAGTGATGGAAAAGTGACCAATACAACTTTATTGGTTTAAACTCTTACAAGCTTTTATTTCGGAATGTTCCCTCCCTGTATCAATGAAAATATCGGTTAGCTTCTAATCTATGCAGTAAAACAGTACCCCACTATGTATACAATGCTGGGGGACCTAACAAGCCAGGGGCCTCACCTGCTAAGTGTTTTCTCTACCACTGTGCTACATCCCCACCCCTCTATTGTCACTTGACTATGCATGTTACTGATTTGATACTTTTATCTGTCAGCTAATTTTTTTGCCTGTGACAAGTGACTTCATGATCCTGTACCTAAACTGCCTTATATAAAGAATGGAACAATACAACTGTCTCACAGATTATAGCATGATGTGACAATGTGAGTTCTCACATGATAGTTGTGAGGAGATAATACAGGGGCACTTGTGAATTAAATAGAATAATTTGCATGGCACATGGTATATAACAGGCCTAAGAGTAACTATTCTCAGTGATACACTGTTGGCTTTGACATTCATTTTATTTGTGGAAGTATCATGTACAATTCATAAACAAAACCCATTGTTTTGGCAATCTATTTTTTCCCCCCAGTGTTTAAGAATGGAACCCAGGGCTTCATGCATGATAGACAAGTATTTTACCATTCAGCTACACCCTTAGCCATTAAAAGTCTGTTAATTTGAATCTCAGTTGTTAGTTTTAAAAGCTTTTTCTTGGAAAGTATAGTATACTGCTGGTAAGTAGTGCTTTATAAAAATTAAAAGTATTGCTTTTATCATCAGCCAAATAATTACAAAATGTTCACAAAGGAGGGAAAACAGCAGATATTATAATGGGAAGAGTAAGAACAGTGGATATAGGAATTACTTAACCAGCCAGCGCTGTCTTGGCCATTGCAGGTGGATTACAAGACTGGATAAACAGATGTTAAACTAAACAGGAGCATGATTCTCCCATCTCTGATGCCTTTGAGCAGATGTCAGACACATGGAATGATTAATTACTGCCCATGTTTTAATTATGGCTATTCCCATGGAGAGCAAATCTCAGTGTACCATCCCAACATTTTAACTTTAACTAGCAAACCTCAAATTTAATTGAATGGTAGAAAAGGAAGACTTACACAAAAATAATCCTGGAGATCTTTCTTGTATAGATTGGGAGAAAAACTTAAATTCAGGGAGCTAAATTTAAATAGTTAACTAAATAGCTGAAGACATGAACATTTTAGGTTTGCAAGACTCAATAGTCACTGTCCAGATCCACTATAACTTTCTCACCTCTGGGTTCAATCATATATTACACTTAGCACAACCACTTTGAGGGTTTCTGCATATACTGTAAATAGTAATGTCCCAATTTCATCTGGTTTGTGGTATTTTTCTGTCGAGACTCCATTCAGCTCCTTTTGTTTACCCTGTATTTGGAATATTACTATTCTTGGGAAATTTTTATTCCTGAAACACATGTTGACTTCATTCAAGTGATACCATATTCACTTAAAAACTACTGACACATGAAGCCAGGAGCTTTGGCTTATGCCTGTAACTCTAGCTACTCAGGAAGCTGAGGCAGGAGGATCACATGTTCTAGCCAACCTGGGCAACTTAGGGGAGAGTCTGTCTCAAAAAGTAAGGGCACCCCTTGGTTTGCTTCCCAGTCCTGCACTAAAAAAAAAACCAAAAACCAAAAACGAAAAAACAGTAACAACCCAAAAGAAACAAAAGTACTGACACGTGAATAACCAATAATGACTAAGGTAACAATAACTGTTAATTACAATTTACAGGAACACTTAATATTTATTCCATTACTTAATATTCCTAATCAAGAGAATGGGAAAAAAAAAGCAGCATAATACATCATGTACAAATTCCCTATAATGAATGTTATGTATATCTAAAATGTACCAATAAAAAATACTCTCAGTCACTTTATGAGGTAGGCATTCCTGTACCTTTAACACATGAAGAAACCGAAGTTCACAAATGCAAGTTACTGGGGCTAGGACTATAATTTAATTTTCAAAGCTCTACTCTATTTGCAGAATATAAAGCAATTCAGTCATCCAATTAGATGCAGAATTATATTCCCTATTCTACATGTATATGAGTGCGTGTGTATATATACCATTTTAAAGAACAATAACCACTTAGTAAAGTGCATTAAACTGAAAAACAGAACCTAGAAGAAATGTTACTTCTAATCAAGAGTAAGTGTGAAATTCATCATCAAAATAAATACATTACTTTATATGGATTATCTGTAGAGGAGTCAGGTAATTTCTGGATGTTAATTGTGAATTTCACTCAGTATTTTAAAAATAATAAAAAGTTATTAAACGCTTGTTTAACACATTTAAGGGAAATATCTTGTTGAGTTTATAACCAAAATACTTGTGACTTGGTAATAAAAATGGGAAAACAATTTGAATCTATTTTCATGGCTCATACACATTGAAATGCAAAATGCACACACATCCATAAATTGAATGTTTTAGGTTCAAGGAAAACATGAGAAAGTTAGCACATAGTAAAAATCAATGTGGAAAGTGTCCTTCTATATGATTGCAAACAGGCATAATTATTATACAAAATACTTTATATCCATGTCTTACGCTGAATTTCCAAAAATTATAAATACCTCAGATAGTCATTAATTTTATATTTATATTTATAGAAGAAATGAAATATGCAGTTTCATTTAGCTAATACTTAGAACAGTAAAATTGAAACAGTACAACTAAAGCAATACAAAAGTGTACATTTTAATACAATGAAACCAATATTTACTTGACTGTAAAAATTCCCTTAATTGCAAAATTTTTAAAATATAGGCTCAGTTTTATGATTTTAAAACTATCATCTAGCCAAGACATTTAGAATATGAACTACTTCCCAATATTTTCCTAGAAAAGGATTTTTTGTATCTGATCTCAACAAACTTTTAATCTACTTTTCTTCAATATGGTATTTAGACCACATCTCATATTAATCTAATAGATATTACTTTTTAACAGACAAAACTGTTAACATAAAAGGTCTTAAAATTCTTCAGCTGGATATTTCTCCAAAAATCTGTAAATATTAGGCTTCCTACAAAATTCATTTCACTCCTGTGCATATTACAGAGTACTGTACAAATCCTGTTATTTCTCTTCCAACTATCTAGTTACAAAGAGAAAAAATTAATTTTAGAATGAAGTCCCTCAATTGTCACAATATACTTACTTACCTTCAGCAATTTGTGCCTTAAATCTCCAAAATGACCCTGTTTTTCCTACGTGTCCTAATCTAACTTAGAAGAAACAGGATATTCCTGGAAGGAATCTGAGAGCAGGGCACACTATGAGATTATGTAAAATGGTTTGTAAAACACAATCTTGCACAGATTTTGTGTTCAATTAAAATGTTCCTAGCCAGGGATTTAGCTCAGCGGTTTGGTGGCCTGCCTTGCAAGTGCGAGGACCTGAGTTCATTCCCCGGTACCAAAAAAAAAAAAAAATGTTCCTAGGTGGTGAAGATATACTAATATGGAAAGAAATCTCTGAAGATAAATCAGTGCATTGCAAATTAAAAACTTGAAACTGAAAACTCTGTAACAATTTCTCCTAAAATGGTGAATACTTTTATTTTTTGAAAAGTTGTAAGATAATTTCTTTTGGTTTTTTTTTTGGTACCAGGGATTGAACTCGGGACCTTGCACTTGCAAGGCAGGCAGCAGAACCACTGAGCTAAATCCCCCATCCTGTAAGATATATTCTTATTTTTGGGTTTTGAGCAAGACAGTAATAGTCTACACCAAAAATTTCTTATATTTAAATGAAACTGGATGAGGGAAAAGTCTTCTTAAAATGCATATTATCAAATATATATTGACAAATTTTATTTCTCCAGTGTGGGGTAGAATTTTAAAAGTAAATATCCATAATTTTATCTGAAAAGAATCTAAATATGGTTAAGCTTAAGTACTCAATTTGTCATTTTATTTTAAAAGTGGAAGATTTTATTGAAAGATATCCAATTTTGGCTTTGAAGATACAGGTTCAAGGTCTCTTCTTTGTTATTCCAGAAACTATGTATAGTGTTTGTAATTTTAACAGTACCTTAAAAGTGTTCCCAACATGAAGATTTTCAACCTAATGAACAAAGCGTATACTCACACTCTGATGTTCATTTCAGTTCATTTGTCTCTGTGAAGCACATCAAACTCACTCAAACATCAAATGGCCAATCTGATAGAATGATTTATTTTCTCATTATAGGAAAGTCATGAGTGCCTAGTTCTGAGGTATGTTTTTCAGCTATGAAGGACATCTATTAGAACGTTCCACACTTGCAGGTTTCTCTTTAACATTTTATGGCTGAACAGTCTCTGCAGGTACCAAATTCCCAGTTGTATCCAACTGCATACATTTACATGTGCATGCAGATACAGGACACTCTGCATGGTCCCTAAAAAAAATAGGTAAAATATAGTTAAAAAGTCCAAATTAGAGGGCTGGGGATTTAGCTCAGTGGTGCTGCTGCCTGTCTCGCAAACACAAGGTCCCGAGTTCAATCCCTGGTACCAAAAAAAAAAAAAAAAAAGTCCAAAATACAGTACATGAACACATTTACCTATGTCTATCTATAATGCAAGTTTTCAATGGTATTCAAAACCCCAAGGAGAAAAGTTTTAAAAGCATCAAATTAGAAATGACTGCCAAGTTGAACTTGGGATAGAAAATTGCTGAAAAACGAATAGCTTCACTTTTTATATATACAGTAAGATATCTCATTTATAGTTATGAAGGTGACAGGGATACGCTCAGAATTTAAATTAAAGCCAATGAAACGAGTTGGCTATAAGTGCTATAGCTATGAGATATGAGATATGCACAAGGCAAGTGGCAGTATCCAAAGTAAAAGCTGAAGATCTTGAGTCTCCACTGCATGAAGAGCTTTCCTACCATATACCAAGTTTACCAAGAAAATGACTAGTGTAATTTGTATGTACTCTTATCATTATACTTGTAATTCAGTTACATGATAAATTATAGGATATGCAGTCAGAAAAACTATAAATATTGGCTCTAATAAAATTATATAATGTAGGGCTGGGATTTAGCTCAACAGTGCCGCTGCCTGTGCCTACCTTGCAAGTTCAAGGTCCTGAGTTTGATCCCCAGTACCCCCCCAAAAAACCAAAACAAAACAAACAAAAAGCAAAACCTAATACTACTCATTTAACACATTAAAAAATACATCTTATATAACTATTATCTTATATTTTTTATTTTTATTTTTGGTACCGGGGATCGAACTTGGGACCTTGTGCTTCCGAGGCAGACAGCAGAACCACTGAACTAAATCCTCCGGTCCACCTATTACCTTACAGATTAGGATCACATAGGATATCTACTGTTATAAATTTTGACATTACCTTTGCTAACTCAAATGATGGTTTAGAAAAAGAAATGCATCCTTTTGCTATACAGTAATAGCATAAAATAATGTGAACTATATAGCGGGCAAACTGTCTTATGTCCTGTAACTCTAAGCTTATTCAAGAAAGAATGTACTGATTACCTGAACCAACTAAGCATGTGTCCAGCATGTCCACCATGCCTACAATTGTGACACCATGTAAACCAGTTGTTAAACTGAGCTAATTTTTTGTCCTTGCTTAAGTCGACTTTTTCATCTGATTTTGATCCTCCTATGGAAAAGGAAAACTGTGTTTATTCACTATATCACAATATTTTAAGTTTCTTAAGAGGTATACCTAAAACAATTATCAAAATACAATTTTCACATCATGCTGAAACACTGATTTAGATGATAGGATCTAGACTTTTACCCAACACTGAAGAGAGATAATTATTATCTATACAAACCTTTTTAAAGAAGACAAAAAAGAAATTTTCCATTGCATTTCACAAGGCAGATACAACCCTGCTAACAAAACCATCCAAAAGTAACACGAAGAAAGAAGATGACAGACCCATCTCCCTCCTGAACACATATAAAAACAGTGAGTAAAATATGAGCAAATAAAATCACATAGTATCATAACCCTATGATTCAGCAATTCTAATTCTTCGTGAATACACTAGCAAGACTTCTGCATATGTCAATATGACATGTACCTTAATAAATGTTCTTTAATAAATTGTCTTGAGAAAACTCACTATCCATCTGTAGAAGATTGAATCTAGACCCCTCTCTCACCATGTCCTAAACTAAAATAAAAAAACTAAATGTTAAGATGGAAACAATCTGCTGGAAGACAAAATAGGTAAAATTCTTGAAGACACAGGCATAGGCAAGGACTTTCTGAATAGAACACCAAATTGCACAAGAAATAACACTAAGTAAAAATTGATAAATGGGAGCATATAAAATTAAAAAGCTTCTGTGCAGCAATAAACAACCACTAGAGTAAGAGACAACCGACAGAACGGGAAACTTCTGCTAGCCATTCCTTGGTCAAAAAACTAATATCTAGAATATATAAAGTACTAAAAAAAATTATATCCTCCCCCAAATAAAAAACCTAATAAAAAATGGACATCTGAAATGAACAGACATTCGTCAGAAGTCCAAATGCCCAATAAATATATTAAAAAATTACGTATCTCTGGCTATCAGAGAAATATCAATGAAAACAACATTGACTTCCATCTTACTCCAAAAAGAATGGCGCTTACCAAGAAATCAAATAATAAATAACAAATGCTGGCAATGCTGCAGGAAAAAGGAATCTTACTACATTGTTGGTGGGAACATAGATTAGTACAACCACTGTGGCAACCAGTACCAACTCCGCACAAAAAAGTAATCATTATGCAGTGCAGACATGTATTAACAACAATGGCGGGGGGGAGGAATGTCCACAGCAGCATTATTTATACTAGTAAAAACCTAGAACTGACCAAACTGTTCACTAATAGTAAAGTGTAGAAATTGTGTTTCAGTCCTAAATAGAACACTTAATAGTAGTAAAAAATAAACTCCAGCTAAAATTCATCTACATAACTGAAATTTTAAAAAAAGTTTAATGTTGAGCAAAAATGGGGAAGTCAAGGAAAAAATTCTGTAAGTCCTTTATATAATATAATAAGCTACACATACAAAGCAGAGATTAATTAACATGTAATTTAGGAAGTAGGCGACCTCTGGAGTGGAGGAAAACAATATCACTAGGCAGGAAGGAATGAGAGAAGTACCAGTGCAGACACTGACTTAAGCAAGGTACATTTATGTTTGATGTTTGACTTACCATAGTATATAATACATATACATATGCACTTTTGTTCACCAAAATTTAAACAAAAGTGCATTATCACATACGCATGCTTATACATGTTTGACTCTATATCTTTATGAACCTCTTTAGAGTTCAGAAAATGGCCATTCTAGTACTTTAGGCTACGTCATTGTGTTGTTCTAAAACAAAAAATCAAATTAAAATATTTTAAGACCTTACAATTAGAGACAAAAAATGGGAAAATGATTAAGTAAAAGTATTCAGCCTACTTAAGCAATTGTTAACTGCTAGGATATGATGTATAGATAATTAAAATCAAAATTTCACTTAGGCACTGTTGTCACATTTAATGATGACAAAAATGGCCTTACAGAGATAGTTTTTAAACATATTCATTTGTTTTTGCTTATGACATAAAAGTAAAAGAACATATAAGGAGTATGTATTTATGTATTTAGTGGTAGAGGATAAATCCAGGGCTTTTGCGCTGGTCTACCTTCTCAGCCGTTTTTAAAATTTTTTGACAGGATCTTGCTAAATTGCTTGGGTTAGATTCAAACTTGCAATCTTGACTTATTTCCCAGAGAACTGGGGTTACAAGTTTGTCACCACACCCGGGTTAATATTTAAGAAGATATAAATACAATGAAACCATTCCTAAATTATGAATAATTTTTTTTTTTTTGAGGTACTGGGGATCGAACTCAGGACCTTGTGCTTACCAAGCAGGCATGGTGCCACTGAGCTACATTCCCAGCTCTCTCTTTTGGTTTTTTGAGACAGTATTTCACCCAAATAGTCCAGGCTGGCTTTGAGCTCCCTATGTAGCCCAGGCTGGCCTCAAACGTGTGACTGATCCCACTGTTTAAATCACTTTAAGATGCACAGAAAACATACTGAGTTTAGAACAAACTAATCCATATCTTTTTTTTAATGAAACTGGAAATATTACGGGTTACTCTACTACAAAGAGAAAAAGGTTATTTTAAATATCAAGTGACTTTAAATTTTAAAAGGCAGTGGATAAGTGTTACAGAATATCTGAGGAAAACTAGAGTTCACTTATATACTTTCAAATTAAGAAGATAAGAAGGAAACCAGGGCATAATCTAACTTTTAACAAATATGTCACTATCTAGAACCTTTTGTCCAGCCTTTGGGCCTTCCTGGGTGGCAATAAGTGAAGAATTAACTTGGGCCACATCTAAGAAATATAACATGTAGAAGTAATAAAACTTCCTTTAAAAATATTTTTATTACATATGTGTAGGTAAGCTAAAAAGCTACTACCGATCATTTTACTTGCCAAGCTGTGACAGCGCATGTGACATCCTGGGTTCCCACTGGACTGGCTGTCTGTGGGTGTAGGAAGTGGACTTAGCACTGCACTGCACCATTCCCTAAAGAGTACTGCACTGTCACCTGTGCAGCTCATGCTGGAACACGTACAACTGAGTTATGAAAAATGTTGCTGAAAAAAAAATCACATAATAATATTAAAAGTTTATGATCTTGTTGGGTCACGGCAATAGATAGCCTGGGCCATATGTGCCTGAGTTAGGGACATTCCTGATCTAGAAGTTACGCTCTACAAAGGCAGACTTTTATCTGTTTTATCTGTTCACTGTAATTTTTCTAGTATTTAAAAGAACAAGTACTAATAAATATTTTGTTAAAAATGCTTCCAATTTATAATCTATATAGTGATACTAATTAGAACCGTTCAAATAGAGTTGTAATCTTCACTACACAACTGAGTATAAAAATATGCAAATCTCAGTTAAATAAGCTTATGGAAATCATAATTATTTGGATAATGAAACATGATGGGTGGATGCAACTGATTAAAGGGAAAGCACCACAGCTGTTTGTACACCTGAACTTTTAGGCTGCCATGAACCAGCATTTGATTTCTATTAGGTCCTGTTTTATTTTAAAATTATGATTCTTCTGATAAAAATATTATGATTATTCTAACTTACATAGCTCAGAAGTGTCTTTATAAAGATCACATTAAAAATCTCTAATTCTCCTACACTATTTCCTATCAGTCTACTTCCAAGACTGTCGCCACACAGTGCATTTAATACTTCCATATACTCTTGGCACTTATAGTTACAAATCTCCATCCCAATTCACAATGTTCAACTTTACACCTGGCAAAGCTTCCCTGAAATTTCACATATTTAACTCTACCAAATGTTAATGCAGTAGCTGAAATGGAATCTTCTTTCTGAAGCTTTCCAGCTATCTCTCAGATAGAAACAATGTTTTTCTCTTTCAAAATTCCTCACATCAAAATTCCCCTCATCCTGGGAGCTAGGTATGTTTCAAAATTCAGACTGCTTTGGGATTTTAGAAAAATAATGAAGAGCAAATATATTTTGTATAATACTTCTGTGGAAGCCTGAGGCTGCAAGCAGTAACCAAACACAATGACATTTTTGCAGTGAGACACACAAATATTCACAAATAAACAAGAGAGACAGAGATCTTACTAGCTTCTTGTCAATTCTAAATCTAAACAGGTTGTGCTGCCAAACGAGATTAGTATAATACATTCTTTTAAAATGCTGGATTTCCAGGTCTTTCTTAAGATTTTGGAATGATGGATTAGGCACCATGGACCAGTACTTATTTTCTAGAACATGACTTATTTTATATTAGTTTTTCATGTTTATTGTATGCCATAATTTCCATGAGGCTATCTTATTCTTCTAAATACATGAGTCTTATCTCCTGTAATACATAATTTCTGAAGCAAATCTAGAATTGTGAAACTATTATGGAAAAAATGTTAAGATTTGATTAACCTGAATGTTCAATATATTTATTGTAAAAGTCTCCATAACAGTTTGAAATATTACATGATTTAATTTTCAAGTACTAGAAAAGTACTGTTATCTTATTTCAAAAAACAGAAAGGACTAAAAACTATTATCTAATAAAAAAGAATAGCACAGGGGCCAGGGATTTGGCTCAGTGGTTCCGGCGCCTGCTCTTCAAGCTCAAGGGCCTGAGTTTGATCCCCGGAACCACCCCCCACCGCCCGCAACAACAAACAACAAAAAGAATAGCACACAAGTGTCATTAGAAAGCAGATAATCCTTGTAACTTCCTGAGAACAGTTACTAAATTTAACTTTTCCTATATATCTCAGTTCACACAGATATATGACTTAGGCTATATTTTACCTCCTTGTTCTTTCATTGTAGTAGATAACACAAACTGTTACTTATTTATTAGTATCAGGGCCACACAGAAAAACTGATCAGCATACAGCATATAAAAATTCTAATGTAAACCTAAACTAAAATGTACATCTAAAAGCATTACATATTGCCTTCACTTGTTAAAAAAGCCAAGTATCTACAATGAAAAATAATGACTCAATGATACTAGCAAGTCTTTCACATATATTAATAAAAAAATCAAGACTGCGTACATGAAAAAGCTGCAGATTCAGAAACCATCAGAACCAGAAAGCAGCTCTGGTCCAATATAGTAGATCCTTGACTTACGAACTCAATTTGTTAGAGAGGGCTGGTTATAACTCAAGTTGGTCAACTGAAGGCTCAGGCTCCTCCTACACAACCTTCAGTTTTTTTTCCTGTATACAGGCAGAACTCAGAGACACTGGCCCAGGATTTCTCAATTAACCCCACACAGGAAAGGATACTGTAATTTTTGTTTGTTTGTTTGTTTGTTTTTCTGGTACTGGGGATAGAACTTGAGTCCTTGAGCCTGCAAGGCAGGAGGCAGCACTGCTGAACTAAATCCCTGGTTAAATCTGTATATCTGAGGCCATCTGGAAGCACTAGCGGCTGGCATTTGGGTCATAACTCAAGACTCTGTTCCTAAATCAATGCTGGGAGCACTGTGCAGTAGATCATACGGACAGACCTAACTTGCCTCCTCTCGCAGATGAGGCAGAGCCCTGTGTGGAACGAGGCAAACACCTCTTGTTCACTTCCTCCTGTGGACGAGGCAGGGCCCCACAGGAGGAAAACAGGAGACAAATGGGCATGGTGGAATAAGGCCTGGCTGAGAAGAGGACCATCTTACTTCCTACCTATCCAACAACAACAAAAAACCACCAAGCGTTGTCTCCTACATACGCTAGCCATTCTCCCTGTTCCAATCAGAAATCCCCTTTCATCTTGCCTTATCTACACTATAAATAAATGTGCTAAAGATACAAGCCAAACTTTTTGTCTCATGAGGACAAAGGGATTCCACCTGGCCTCAGTTTTATAAACTTTACTGTCATCTTTGTCTTCTTTCTTTGACTTTCTTAATCGCCCACCGCAGTTTCTCACACCATAAATCCTTCAGCCATGCGGGCTGTGGCAAGTTAAAACTAAAATTCTGGCCATATCCCAAGCTGTTTGTGTGTCAGGGTCCACAGTAACTCAAGGGTCTACTGTAGCTTAAATAGAGCTAAAGTAATCCTTTCAATGCACAGATTTTATAAATCAGAGGGATCACAAAAGCATTCAAACCAGTAAAATGCCCTTTCTTAGAAATAATGCAAACAGGCCAGTATGTATATATTTCAATGTCAACTCAATTATATCAGAACAATTTAAATTCAGAAAAAATACTTCATAGAATTATGTCATACCAGGACAGCTGGAAACAGGTGTTCCCATATTGATGAGGCAAAGAGCACATCGAGGAAGGGGTTTTCGACAGCCAGGACAGCTTGTGACTTTAGACTTTGTCGGGGAGCCGCTCACACCATACTGACTAAATCCTCTGCCCTGATGAGGCACAGAAGAACAGCTGTAGGAGATGGACTTGCCACAGAAATTACAACTCACAAATACCTGCAAAACAAATGAGACAAGAAAGAAATGTGATGTAAATCATAAAAGAATGACAAAAGGGTGAAACAAAAAATTATTTTACTTAAAAGCTTAACTATCTGACACTGCAAAATGACTCATCTGCTAAATCTGACTACCTCTCTTTTAAAATCTCCAGTTAGTTACATTACATGGGTAGCTTTTTTCTGTTACCTTCAGTTATATTCTTCCAAGTATCTTTGATATTGCTGGAAAATTAAGAACTTTAGACCCTGACATTTTAGATTTAACAAAACATTAGAATATTCATCCAGAGCCATTTAAAACATCATAATGACTTCTAAAAAACCAGTTCAGTGATGTAATCCTCTGAACAGAATTCCTTAAAAAGAAAATATTGTTTCTAAGATAAAAAGGAGTTAAGGATCCCTAAAGACAAATTGTTAAAATTTTAGAATAGCAGTACATGGTATTCATCTGCTTTTATAATAAATGCCTTAGTTTTTAGTACCTTACTATGCAGATTAGTAACATATACAATAACATGCCATTTTACAATACTCTGGCTGCTTTAATATGAGCACATTAGTTTCTCAATTTCCTAAAATAAGAGAAGAGCACCATCCAGTGCCCACATTGAGGAAAACCTAATCCTTAACATCTGAGCTAAGATAAAATGATCTTAGATCATGTGTCCTAGTGAAAGGGAATTTCTAGGCAGACAGATATATTTCTAACAGAAAAAATTAATTAAATTGGACAACTATGAGTTAACTGTGTTATTAACCGACTATGGGTTAACTAGGTAACTATGCTCTTTGTAGAATGTATCTGAGTAGCCAAGACTTCTGTAATCTGTCACCAAGACAGCAGAGCTGACTCAGTCCTGCCAGAACTCTATGCTTTGTGGCCACCACCCCCACTTACTCTGTGTAAAACTCTGCTTGCTATATTCCCAGGGAAACTCCAATGAAATTAAACTTCACTGATGTAAAAAATGTCAAATAACTAACCAACCAAAGACTGCCAAATACTCTGCTTCTGTACCTCCTGCTTGCAACCCTATAAAACTGCTGGCCCACCAACAACTGCTGAGCCTAACTTCTTTGGAGTGATCGCAGTCAGGTCCTTCAACGAGTTGTTCACTGCCTCCTGCCTGAGTGTCTTCCTTTTCCGATGGTTTGCTACAGCACTACGACAGTGTGGCACCTGTGCCACAGCGGGCTATTTATATCATGGAAAGCTCTAAATGGTTCACCATCATGGTCCGAGGATATTGATTCCACGGTTTTTAAATTAGTGCTAAAAGAAAAAAAAAATTTCCATGTACAATTAGTTAGGTAATATGCATATACTGTTAAGTTTAAAAAAATTCCCAAATCCTGCTTTACCACACATAAAGAGTGCAGAAAAACTACACAGATGGGATTTCTAATATGACATTAGTTTAGATTCCAAAAGGCCTTCACATGTTGGAAAACTTCACACAATCCTAGTATTTAGGCTTTCCAAGGATCCTCTAAACCTCTGTACTTTGTTCTATCTCAGACCAATGCTCAACCACCTAGTATGATTGTTAGGACTGGCAGAACCAAAGAACAGGAAGATCAAGAATGAACAGTCTGAATGTAACTGTACTGTATCCCTAAAATGTACCAATAAACTCAATTAAAGCTGAAAAAAAAAAGAATGAACAGTCTGGAATAGAAATCAATGGGAACTCAATATAAGCAAAAGAATGAGCTGAAAATAATTTATTAAATTGAAATAAAACATGTTATCATTTGATTCTCTTTTAAACAATGTTCTTACCTGTGCTAATGGCTTGGAACTGGGATCCAACTTACTCCGGTGAATATCAAATTCAGCTCGTTTGTGCCAAAACCTCCACGCATCTAATAAATTTCTATAATTCTCAATCCAGTACTGAACTCTTTCATCTTTTAGAACATCTAGAGGAGAGCCCTTAAAAAGAACATGGATTTTTTTCAGTTGTTTCAGATGTTCTGTTTAACCCAGGGGGTTCTGGGTAACACGGGAGCATGAGCCAGACAGAAGAAACAGTCCCCCTTTTTGCCAAAAGCTGTTTCCTAATGAGGATACAGATAACGGGTTGAAGCTCCATTAATTTACGTCAAGCTGCTCTTCTCTAATGATATAAATATACATTTGTAGATACCATACTAGCTAGGGAAGTCTAATTCTCTTTTAATTGAGTTTAAGGAGCTGGGAGCAACAATTCACCTCCCTGGTTATTCCACAGTGATGCGAAAATGTTTTGTCCCAACTATTAAAAACTCTGGGCTCACAAACTCTACTATTTTATAAAAATACACACCAAAATTGCTCAACCACATACAAATGAATACTCAGCCTTATTGTTTCTATCTAGCAAGGTATTATGAACGGAAATACTGTTTTTGAACACCTATCATCTGTAAGTTAAATCAGTCTATTCTTTCTCTTGCCTCCAATTAAAATATATTTTTAAAAACTTAATTTAACAAAAAAGAAAGAAAACCAAAATGTTTTTTAAACTATTATTATTAGTATTATTTTTTCCTTAAGTTTACTTTGGTGGTCTAGAGTTCTCATTAAGAACTTTTCTCTCTCTTATTTTGTACCAGGGATCAAACTCAGGATCTGTGCTTGCGAGGCAGGCACAGCACCACTGAGCTAAATCCCCAGTCTTTTTTTTTTTTTTTTTTTTAAGCAGTTCTATGGATTGAACTAAAGTATATCCTCAGTCCTTTTTAAATTTTTTATTTTGAGAAAGGGTCTTGCTGAGTCTCTAAATTTCCAGGCTGGGCTTGAAATTGGGATCCTCCTGCCTCAAGTCTCCCAGAGTCCTGAGATTGCAGGCATGTACCGCAATGCCCAGCTAAGATGTCAATTTCATGGTGGTAGTAATTTTCCTAAACCTACATTTTCCCTGTAACTGTGACATTCCGCATTTCATCTATGCTTGTTTTCCATTTTTGTAGGCTTTTAGCTCTAAGAAATCATCCTGCACTTCACACAATGCAGAAAGTAGAGAATGATTACTTGTAATACCTTGGACATGAGTATGAAGCCCAGTTTTCCCAATCCCACTTGAGGGCCAGGGAGAGAAAGAAAATAATGTTAGAAAAAAACCTAGCAAACGTTTTACAGGAAAAGAACAGAAGCCTGTAAAAGCTAATACAATCTATCTTTAGATAATCAATCAAAAGCATGAGCCTGTCTTTTATCTATGAAGCATTAATTTCATGATCAGAGTTAAATTTAGCTAAAAAAAAAGTGAAAAACTCACAACAATTTTATTTAAAAAAAAATCTACTTTAGTCCTGAATATGGCCAATTAAGCAAAACTAAGTACTATAGTAGTATTTTACCTCAGGTTTTAAAAAAAATTCAGAGCTGGGTATGGTGATATATATCTGTAATCCCAGCATTCTGAGAAGCTGAGCCAGGAGGATTACAAGTTCGAGCCTAGTCTGGGGGAACCTAAAAAGACCCTATGTCAAAAAATTTAAAAAGAGCTATGGATGTAGCTCAGTACAAATGCCTTGGGTTTGAGCCCTAGTACTGGGGCACAGGGGGAGAAATCACTAACTCGATGTGTTCATATCCTCTTCTTCCTGCTTTCATGCCACTAAAGATGAACTAAAAAGAGAGTAGTAAGGACACATTAAAAATAATTTGGCAACTCATATTTGGTATGGCTTCTCTAGATCTGCCCTGATAGAGCCTAAAATGACGCCCCACTGGATACACAGAGGGAAGAGTTCAGAGATTGAGCCTGACCAAACCAGTAGGGCTTGGGCAATAACTTGGGCTTCTCACAGATTCACAGTAACAAAAAGGCCAAAAGTGATCAACAAGTAAATGAACTCTCAAAAGTAATAATCATTATTCTTCAGAAAAGGATCAAAATAGCCAGATCTATATACTATCATGTACACAATGCTCAATATTCAATAAAGAAATCACTAGATATGTAATAGGCAAATGTGCTTCAAAGTAAAGGAAAAGGCTGTCAATAGAATTAAAAATAAAGTAACCGATACATTAAAATTTAGCAAAGACCAATTTAGCAGGTTCAAAAAGAATTCTATGATTGACAAACACAATAGCTGAAACTAAGAATTTGCTGGCAACCTTAATTAGCAGCTAAGAGATACATAAGAATCAATACATAAATCAAGGGAAATAATTCAACCTAAAGAACAAACCCCCACCCCAGACTTGAACCTTAGGCATTATGGACAATATCAAATGGTTTAATATCTACATCATAAGAGTCCAAAACCAAAAAGAGAACAAGATTGGAGCAGCAAAAAAATTAAAGAAATAATGACTGAAAATTTCCCAAATCTGATGAAAAACACTAACAGATATAAGAAGTAAAACCACTAACAGATACAAGAAGCTACATGAACTACAGGCAGGATAAAAAGGAACTATAACTAGGCACATAAGTATGATATTGCTGATAAGTGCAGATAAAATCTTGAAAGAAGCCCAAGAAAAAAATGAACAATCAGCAATAGGGAAACAAAGAGGAGCAGACTTTTAATCAAAAACAACAGAGGCCAGATAATATGAATCTGCCTCTTTAAGTGCTGAAGAAAAAACAAAGATGAACTAGACATTTTCAGTTAAAATTTAAAAGTTGGGGGAATTTATCACCTACATTATGCAAAATGCTAAAGAAAAAGACCAAAGGGAAAAGATAGCAGGTGAAACTCTTATTTACAGAAGGAATGAAGATTGCCAGGAATGGCAAATAAGTGAGTAAATACAAAGTCATTTTCTTTCAACTCATAAAAGACACAATTTTTCAAAAGCAAAAATAGTAACACTGAATGTTGTTTCTCCTAATGGATGTGGTGTAATAAAAATACAGCAAATGATCAAATATAAATTTAAAAATTTATTTATTTCAGTAAAAGATACATTGCCATTAACTCCACCCGTATTGAGTTTTTCCTGGCTGCCTAGACATCTGAATTGATTTAAAATGTTTATGGCAATTTCTGACAAATAACATGGTGTATCCTCATCTAACTTCATTACCTGATCCTACACCATGCAACTTTTGGCTCTTCCTTAAAGTCAATGTGACCATGAGAAGTAAACATTTTGAATCAATTCAGGATATGGAGGTAGCGATGTTACTAATACAACTAAATCAGTCATTAAAGAAGACTACCACAACTGCCTCAGAAAGCGACAAACATGACAGGATAAGTATGTTCAAAGGAAGAAGCATGAATGGTGGTGTCTTTTACTGCAATAAGTGTTACAAAATAAAATCAAACATTTACCATATTTTTAAAAATCACACCTTGTATTTAGAGGAAAAACACCTGATCATGAGACAAAAGAGATGGTACACGTTAGAGTTTAGATCTAAAATGTCCTTCAAAGGTCTCATCTGTTTGGAAGGTGACTGGACCATAGAGGCACTATAGTTATCAGTGGATTCATCCATTGATGAGTTCAGTAGCTGAACGTGCTGTTTAGGAAGTGGGGCCTGCCTGGAAGTGGGTCACTGGAGAGGTGTGACCTAGAAGGGTGTGTTATCTTCAGCCCTTCTTCTTTTCTCCTTCTTGGCCACCACGGATTGAAAATCCATTCACCTGCCACCATGGAGCTCTTCCTCTGCTATCACAGAGCTGGCCAACTATGGACTAAACTGTGAACCAACCCGCCCCCCCACCATCCTTTCAGTTGTAGGTATTTGATATTGTGTGCCAGCGACAGTGTGTGACTAAGACACACACTGGAATCAGAGAAGTGTGGTCACTGATGTATCTGACCACATGAGTTAGAAGCCTTTGTATATGCGCTGCTGAAGTGAGCATGGATAGAAGCCTTTGGAACTGCTTCATGGGAGAACTTTGAAAAGTCTTGGAGATGTCACATAGAGAAGCCTTAGAATGCTGAAAGCGGAGTTTGACGGGAGATTCTTGTGGGAACTCAGAAGCCCAGAATACTAGTAGGAATGTAAATGTAAAGTCCAGGCTCAGGAGGTTTCCCTTAGAAACAAGGTAGTTGGACTAGAGGCCATGTGTATTATACTTTGGTAGACAATTTGTCTATATTTTGCCATAGTTTGAGACTATGCATGAATCTGAGATTGAGGGTGGTGGACTAATTAATCTGGTGAATGAAATTTCAAAGAAGCCCAATGTTCAAGATGCAGCAATGGTACTGCATGCTACAATTTCTTAGATCTATACTGCGAATCAGGAACAAGGGCAGAACTGAACAATTTGAAGTTTGCAGTTCTGCCAGAAAGGAAGACTCTGTAAAGTTTTAGCAAAGGAGAGAATGGTTGCTGGAAAGATTCACATTAAAACAAAGCCAAGTACTTTGCATCAGGACAATAGGAAGATGGCCTGAATGCATCTCAGGAATCACCAAGACCCTATCCTTTGTTGTTTAAAGGGTGCAAAACTATAAAGCTTTCAATTGAGAAGAGAGCCCCTGGCTTAAGACCAGCTACCTAAGGAACTGGTTCCCTGGGATTTGTTTCATAATGATCAGTCATTCTGGAACTCAAAGTTGCTATAGCCATGATCAAAGTGGGTGTGGCTATTTGAGCTGGTGGTATCATCCATATGGTGCTGGTTTTACAGATATACAGAATGCAGGAGCCATAAGCTTACAGAGTCTTTCACCTTGTTTTCAGAAGGCCTGGGAAGCCTAGTACTGAGGAGTGAAGCCAAAAATGCAAGAGACCCCAAGAAGCTAGAGATGATAAGAACATGCCATCTGCTGAGGAAAGCCACAGGGAGTAGAACCATCCCAAGAAAGAAGGCATGTAAACTGCATCAGGCATTGCTGCAGGTTACCCAAGCCTTTTGGATCCACAACTTGATCCAGGTACTGGACATGGAACTATAAGATTTAATGTTTGCTCTGCTGGGTTTTGGATTTGCTTTGGTCCCATTCCTTTCTATATCCCTATTTCTTTTTTGGAATGGGAATGTTCACCCTGTAATAGTAAATGTTAGAAGTACAGTCTGTGAGTAACCTGGTCTGTGAGTGTTCTGCAAGACAAAGATTTCTGAGAAATTTTAACTTTATAAACAAGCAATGTCTTGCAATACAAGTAGTAAGTCAGGCTGAACATCACAGGATCACCATTCGTTCTCTCTGCTTTCATATAAAAGTGGTTTGGATTATGAGCAGAACAAGTTACTATCATAAACTAAGGTATTACTGTATTTAACTTTCTTTTTGACTTCACAGTTAAGAGCTTGCCTAAGTCAAACTCTGTAAGCCAAAATAAACATCCCTTAAATTGCGGATGTCCAGTATATTATCTCAACAATTGGGAAAGTGGCTACGATAGTGCATAAGTGTATTTACCCGGTTGTAACATTTGTGAAACTCTAAGTATGAAGAAAGTGCCAAGTATAAAGTAAGAAAAAGGCAGGAAAAGGTAAGAAAAAGAAAGTGTGAAGAGTATGTTAGGTGTGAAATGTGAAGTATGGGGGGTAAAATGTTGATCTTGGTAAGGATGCAGCTTCTTAGACCCAAAGCAACAACTTTAATAAAAAGAGAATTTAATTAATAAAACATAATAAAGTGTTTAATTAAAAGGGCAAAGAGGAATTAAAGTAAAACTCAAATATTCAATTTACCCAAAATAAGGCAAGAAAGGAACAGAGGAATAAAACATAAAGACAAAATGAAAACTAATAACAATATGGCTAACTTAATCTTGACCATATAAATGTGAGCAGAGGAAACACCCCAATTAAAAAGCAACGACTATCAGTCTATAAATTTTTTTTTTTGTTGTTGTTGTTGTTGTTGAGACTAGTCTCACTATATAGTTCAGGTTGGCTTTGAACTCACTATGTAGCCCAGGTTGACCTCAAACACGGCAATCCGCCTACCTCAGCCTTTCAAATGCTGGGATTTACAGGTATGAACTGTCATGCCTGGCTTCAGTCTAGATATTAAAAAAGCAATTATCATCACTGTTAACACTTAAAGTATATTTCATTTATCTTACGATGTTAACCCATTTGCACTCTATAACCATACATATGCAATTTAACAGATAGAATCTTATTCCAGAAAGGAAAAAAAAAAGTTTTTTTCTTTCATAGGCAGTGACATGATAACTTTAGGTAAGTTTACTTTATGGTTTGTGAACCATTATTCAATTACATTCACAGGAAGGTAGATTTGGGGAATAGACATTTTATTAGTTACCCAGTACACAGTGGCTTTCATATTGTATAAAAGGAAAAGGGCAAGAAAGAGAGTATCCATGAAAGGATAAGATTCGCCAAAAATCTGCTTTTAACCACTGGGCAGTAAAAATGAGAAAAAACAGATAAATGTGTTGTCCAAATCATTCTCATCAATAACAAAAAGAAAAATTGAGTTAAGAGAACTGTGATTTAACTTGCCTTCTGAATGTGAAGTGAGACCGTAGCTCAGATCAGGGAAAGGGAATCTCTTTTGTAGAAGATGTAGTTCTGTCAACAATTGGAGAAATTGAAGAGAAGCTTCTTTGTTCCATTTGAGCTTTACATAAATTCAGATGCAATCAAGACTGGTACTTTCCAGAATGAAAGGAAAAACTGGATAACCCAATGAGGAGACTCAGGGACAGTAAAATAAGACACAGTCCTCAGCAGATCAAGTGATTAGATCAAAGCTAAATGCTTTCTAGAGATCCTAAGTAAGCAAAAGTACATACTCACTTTCAATAGAGGGAATACAGAAAAAGTGGTTTAGCTTTCTTTCACTTTTCTTTTCTTTTT